ATTAGTCATCAACATCAATCGAATAAAAAAAATCAAGATTCAGAATAGATAAGACACGACAGTAATTATTGTAATTGTATTAAACACCACTTCTCACTACTAATCTTAATTCATGCTTGCGTGGTGTATTCATAAAGTGACGGTGTTCTGTTACTAATAATACTATAATGACCACACATGTAAATATCAACCTACCACGTCTTATCACTGCCAGATGGAACCATGAAACTAGAAAATCTTGCTATCAATGCACTACCGTCAAATAGAGCAACCATCCTATAGTCTCTTTTGATCTTTTATTGAGGTACTGATATATATATAATATTTAGTTGAGATCCAACCAACTAAATCTAACACACACACGTGAAATTGCAACATATAATATTTAGTTGAGATCCAACGAACTGAATCTAACACCCACACATGAAACCTTCATAACACGTTTGGAAGAGAAAGACGCACGCAGCCACACAAATTAGCAACCACTATTTTAAAGTTGTCTATGTACTTGGAATAGTAAATTGAGTGAAGAGCAGGATATGCATTGTAAAAGGCTAAGCTGGTTATTGTAAACATTTTGGATTTAACACATGATGAAACTTGTGTGGTTGCCTATGTTGAAATGCTCTGTATAAGTAAAATATTCATTAAATGTTCTGAATCTAATATGTAAAAGGATGTGCTCATTATGGGGGGTAATCTGACAATCATGTGTGTGTCCAGATGATAAGACAATACCATGGTTGTCCAAAAAAATGTAGTAAAAATATTAGCATACAAAAGTTTCAACACGTCAACTTTTGTTTCTCTTTGTAAACATGACAGTCACATAATAAGACAATACCATAGTTGACCAAGCTTACTTCACTTTTTATTTTACACAGTAACATGTCAGCTTTTCCTACTTATGTGTACTAAGTCTTCCAAACAAATTTTTACATGAAAATGCACCTTACATCAAACTGTGCTAAATCTTGATGTGCCTTTTTACACTCACACACATTTCACATAGGGATCTTAAAAAAAGTAAACTGCATTTTCTTTTCCCTACTGACACGAAAACTTAAGTGCTGGTTTGTTCAAACAAAATTAAAATAAAAACACACCACACATGTTCAAGCAAAACTTAAAATAAAAACTTAAAATAGGTGTAAGGTAGATTGACTTTACTTGCACACACATGTTTCTTAATTCAGTACATTACAAAGTGGAGCTCTGGATTCTATTAATCCAAGTTTTGATCCAAAAGACTCATAATGAAGCCTGTGCATCAAACAAACAAATCCTACTCCTGTCGCTTTAGGTCATACCCAAAATCATGATCACCACTACATATAATAAATCAACTCAACCTTGAATATTGCTTTTCTTGAATATACCAGTTACTGACAGTACTAATAGATATGGAAAATCACACGTATCCTTACACCTAAAAGCTAAGTCAAATCACGTCAGTAACTGACACATGCATTCTGGGTAATTTAGATGAATGAACCGACCATATACTTAAAGAACAAAACAAACCAAGCACCATCTCTTCTCTGTGACTATATCAACATCCTGGCCGTTATAAATAGATTTGACAAACAGTGACTTCTGTAGGTAAATCAAGTGAATATATTTACTAATTGAAATTACAATAGGGCTATTTTTCAATTTATGCTTATTATAGACAAGAATATTTATTACAAGGTGGCTGAGCTTTCAATATGACTATTTTTCAGCTTATGCCTATTATTTCTACATCTTTTCAGGTAGATTACTAAATAGATTTAGTATTCCTCTTCCTAGGCGTTTTGATAATTGAAATGGTCCATAACTACGTTAGTTGAACATTAAGTACCAAAAATATATAATGCAGTATATAGGCATTACAATTAATTAATTGAAATGATCCATATTTACATTCTAAGTTGAAACGCGATAGGGCTCTAAAAGCATGAACACCTAACATGCTGCCTAACCAGCAACCTACACATAGCTTAACTATATTTACACCAACCACATATCAAAGCATACAACATAGCAGCTGCAACAAAATACTAATTACACCCAAAATAATCTAACATCGGATCCTACACAACTTCAACCTAAACTTCAGAAAACTTGAACATGTCAGTTCCTCCCAGACTCCTTCAACAGCTCTCTTCTCAGGTGCTGAACTTCATGGAAAATCGGATTCCAATATACCCTTGTGGCATTTGTATAGTTGGTGAGGGATGGAAGTCCTGTAAATAAAAGATCAAGCTAGTTATGTCAACAACGATGTCAAAACACAATTACAGTACATTTCATGCTCCTAAAGTAACCCCTTACCTTGAACCCTCTTTACAAGGGTATATTGGACAATACAGACCAGCTTACTTTTTCCCTTCACTGCCTCAAAGTCCTTCCAAGCTTCCATAGCAGGATCACCATAAATATCACATGTGATCCTTCCCTTACTGAATATAATGTAATCCATAGTTATTTAATCCCCAGTCACAACTATATTTCCAATCTTTAATATATTTAACCAAATTCAAATAAGCATACATAACAATACTCACTTTGCATCAGATAAAACAAAACTAAACACATAAGTGTGAGCTCCTTTATAGCTGGTAATTTGTAACTCCTCCACACTAACCAACAGCCCGCAGATATCTACAAAACGCCAACCAACAATTTGGTTTTTATTCATTTATAAAATAATACAAATAGAACTCATGAAACCTCCATAATCATAAGTATTCAGGGTAGCTGAACTAAACCTCTGACTCTAATTCCTGGAGACCAATCAAGCTCTATGGCTCGAACAATGGCAAATCTAAAGTTGTAGCGTGGCAGCCATTAAGAACGCTGTTCAACAAATGTATTTGCCGTTGGGACTATGTGATGCCTTGGGTGAATTCCTTCACCACCCATCATGACGATGAAGTTCTGCACACAAAAAACTTTCCCTGGCTTCAATACATTACAGAACCGATCAATGAGCTCATCTCCATCCAGCCGCAACAACATGTTAGTACCCTAGGTACATGTTCCTCTTAGTGAATATTAATGTTTAAATGAAAGAGCACAAATTTAATAAAAGAATAAGGGATTGTACGCATAAACATAAAACAGGGAGATACTTGTTCTGACCTAGAACAATATGAACCAAAGACAATCAAGGAAGAAAAGCATGAGAATATATGAAAATAGAAGTTAGACTTACTTCTTCGTCAAAAACAATCATATCCAAAGAAAGCAACTTCTTCGGGTATCCATAATCACGATCATAGACATCAAAATCAGTTCTCATGAAAAGTCTATCCACCCTTACAATGACTCTCCAAACATTGACTGGAGGTGACACAGCATCAAGCATCTCATACTGTTCGGCCATTGCAAACTTCAAATGCAAGCAAACACAAACTCTGATAGATGAAAAAGAACCCACACAAAAAGCCTAGGAAGAGGAAATGATACTTAATGCAAAGAAGACATGGTTTGAAATAACTCTTCAAACGTCACTTCAATCGAATCCACCTGCTTACCTGTATAATAACTCACTAGTAACCAGAAGGAAATAAATGCTAACAGAACCAATGAATCAAGGTGAAAAAGAATAATCGTAAAAATTTTTTGTGAGGAATATTGATAATGCAAAAGACACCAATGAAATAAATGAAACTCATACCTCAACCAATGAGATGCCCACCAGAAAATTGAATTTTATTTGAACTGAGGCTTCCATTGCCCAACTACTTATATAACATCTCTTATCAAGTAACTGATTGATAACTAGACCATTACTGACACCCACACGTGAAACTTTCATGACACACGTGGAAGAGAAAACCGCACAGAGCCACACAAATGAGCTGAAACTATTCATAAGCCGTTACTGTACTTAGAACAGTGATTTGAGTGAAGAGCCAACCAAGCATTATAAACAACTCAGCTTGACTTTGATTTTGATTTAATATTTAAGATTGATTTATCTTTCAATTTATTATAAAATTTTAATTGATCAAAATTAGTAACAATAATGAATAATGAATTGGTTTACCTAAAAAAATGATTTGGCTCCTAAATTTCCTTACGATATTGAGCACATCCTTTTAATTACTATTTAATAAATTTTACTTTATTTTAATTATTTTTAATGTATGAAGTGAAACAATTATTTGTATTTATTTTTCATCTAATTATTTTCTATTTTTCATATCAAAAGGCAATAGGCATATAACTCATGGATAACTATTTAATTTTAATAACATCACGTTAATTATATTAAAGATATATTAGTTTTAAGGCCAAAGAGGGAAAAGATGCACATGTTACATTTTAAGTGATGATATGAGTGGTGAACTCAACAACTCAAAAATAAATAAATTTATAAATCCACCTTTTAATTAAATTCCTATGGTTCTTTTATTCGATAATTATAATAATCTCAATGTTCACCTGATCAAGAAAAAAATAATCTCAATGTTGATAATATATTAATTAGAGCTAATATGAGTGCTAATTAAACAACATGTGGATTATTATGAAAAACAAGAATTTTTTAAAGTAAAATGATGAAATAAAATTTATTTATTTCATGTAGATAAGGCTTATTATTTTTGTATAACTATCTCCTCGCATTTATTATTTATATAATTTGTAATCCAGTTGATTTTGATTTTATGTAGAAAAAAAAGACAAAAAACTAAAAATTACTAAATGTCAAACAAATACCAAAAAAGAAATGTCAACAAAAATTTATTGTCATTTATAAATTCAGTGTTGTTAACATTAAATAATACCAAATAAAATGTTGCCAAATCTGATTTGGAAATTTTCAGATTCTTTTTTGATCATTTACCTTTTTATTTATATACATGATGGAAAATTAATTCAAGTGCATGTCAAATGGAAGTTGTTATCAGCTCTCAGTTATCAGCTAGTAACGTCATTTCTAAATTAGCAATTAACAGATTATAAACATAAGCACAAATACTTATAATTGAGAAAACTACAAAGACTTAAAAAAAATATAAAAATTTAATTAAAAATTAAGTGAGGTTATAAAGTACTTTCATGTTAATTTTTGTGGGAAGTTGTGCCAAACTTCATGTAACCATTCCTTGAGGCTTTTCCTATCCAATGCCATACATAATAACACTGTTTTTCAATATATAGCATTGTAGTGCGTAGCATAACCTCCATTGTCAGAGACAGAGACATATATGTGAAGTTGTTGATTAAGCGCGCATATATATATATATATATATATATATATATATATATAATGGCGAATAGTGAATAATCAACGATGGCTCTAATGAATTGGGGAGGTGAGACCTTCTTGAGAAGACAAAGGATGGAGAGGTTGGTGATGTCTCTTGGAAGGGAAAGATAAAGATGCAGCTCTTCTGAAAGAAGGACGTTTCTTGATGCGTTGCAGGGTTCGCTTGGTGTAGATTTTACGAAACAGAGGTGAAGAGAACTCTCTGAACTTTAGAAGAAAGAAGAGGAGGAGTCTGAAGGATATGAGGATTAGTGCCACTGCAGCTAAGTCCCACCATTTTGAATGATCAAGTTCAAGGCCAAGCATGGTTCTCAGGATGAACTCTCCTTTCAGTTTTGGCTCTCCTGGATTCATAGCTTCAAACTCCAGCCCTATCATGTCGTTCTTGTAAGCCCCCTGCATTACCAAAAACATTTGTTTATTGGCTGAAATGGATTCCTAAAGTAGCTTTCAGCTAAAAGGATAAAAACAATATATAATATATAGATACAAGCGTAAGGCTATTATTGAATTATAACTCTATTGCCAAGGCATAATACTCTAGGGAGAGAGATAAGTACGTAGAGTAGGTCATGCAAGGCTTGCTTATCTCGTGTTTATCTCTCTCCTTATATCATCGTGCTACTACAACAAAGAATTAAAACTACTTATCATTACATGTCTATCCACCTCCTCACTGATGGCGAAATCACTTTAAGAATCTAAATTTGCATTTGCTTAAACATATCTAAACATGGCATTTCCACTCCTCCATTTATCTTTTTAGACTGAGTGCATTTCTACATCTTCATTTGATGAGTGGTGAGTACATGCCATTTTGATTTGAAGAAAATTTCACAAGGACCCAACTCATTATGTTATTTATTAATCAGAACCAAATAACCATAAACATTTGGGTAGTCATTTAGGGCTAGTTTGGGAGAATTTGAACAGTATTTTCGCACTTTATAGGACAACTTCTCTCACATATTTATTTCATATAGCGCTTTCACATATTTACTTCATATAGTGCAAAACCATTTTTCCAAGACTAATCCAAATAGGCACTTACTCTTGATTTGATGAAGGGTCAGGCAAGACCCTTCAGAAGGAGCAAGGGCCACAGATCTAATGGAGTTCAAACTCTTTTTTCCAACAAGATTGATAAGTTATGACAAGCTATTTGACCCTTGACTAAATTTTGTTGGCTCTTTATGTTTTTTCCCCCCTTAGAATACCCTATACAGTCCACTTGTATCACCATCAAGAATCAATAATACAGATTAATAACTCTTCCAGAGTTACCTGTAATCCCCATGCCCCAAAATTGATGTATAGGATTGGATAACGCCAGAAGACTTTGGGAAGATCAGGACGCTGACGAAAGTATCCAGAAGTCATCATCATAACACCCTGCATAACACATACACAAGTGTGTGTATATTTATAAACAGAACTTGAATCTGAATCAACCAATCATCTAAACTGATAACTAAAAGTGAATGTGGATCATGAAGCATTCAAGCTTATATATGAGTTCTTACAACATATCCTGCTCCGACGATGACCCCCATGAGGAAGTTTGGAACAAGTGAAGCTATGATCATCATTGCGGTCTCCACAACAGCAATGCACAAACAAAGATCAATGCATCCGTAGAGCAGAAGGGAGAAGCCAGGATGAAACTTAACCATATAGAAGGTTATAATCCCAGTTGCAAAAGACATCATTATCACGAAAGGAAGGGAAGACAGAAAGTTTGAGAGAACATAGATTCCATTTCCATAATACCCATTCAGCCTCTCTTTCTTAAACACCTGCTTCATCAAAACAAAAACTTCAAAAAAAAAAAAAAGTACTTTACAGACACCATAACTGTATTCTCTTTTTCTCTGTTTTTGCATGGAAGCGGATTATATATGAAGTTTTTAATACTAGGCCTCTCCTAGCCCATGATCTTGAAATCAGTACTTAGTTTCTCTGTTTTTTCCTCCTTTTTTGTATCGCCTTGCATAGCCTTCCCTTAAAACAAAAAAAAAAAAAATGAAATGATCTGAAATGAATGAAATGAAATCAGTTTTATTCCTTTGTGCTTTTGGAGATTCTCCTAAGTATTTGGCTAATGAGGAGAAATTGAGCGAGATACTTGCTTTCGTCTTTTATTAGATTTACTATATTTATTTCTTGGGACTTTATTATTAGCATGAGTTTAAGATTCTTGCTCATATTCTAATAGAAATTTTTCTTCCGTCTTTATCAATTTTTGAAGTTTGATTTTGATTCACATTTTAGTAAACACTTTTCTTCCTTCTTTTTCTCTACTCATCTTGGATCCTGTCATAGAATACGTTTTATGAATTAAATAAACCCTTTCTTTTACCAAGTATCATCTACTAACATCAATGATATGACATATATCACCTTCCATTTAACAATTTTTTTCATAAAAAGGCCCTTTCATTACATTGATCAAATTAAATATTTAAATTTTTACAATACTGGACAGCTAAAAAATGTATTTGAGCCTTTTGACAATGTATCAAACAGTGTCTTACCTTCATCTCTTCTATGAAAGATGGGAAGCCTCCAATGGACATGAATGTCATGAAACCAGATATGAATGCTCCACAAGATCCTCTGGCAAAAATTGCTCTGTAACTTGTCCCAACATTGAAAAATACCATTCCAACACACAAAGATAAGGCCACATAGATTATTATCCTTATCCAGTAGTATCCGGCATCTCTACTCATGTTCACAAAAGACCTCTGAGTCAATGTTGAAAGCTGCTTCCACCATTTGGTTTGGTTTTTGCTTTTACTTTCACTCTCTCCTTGTCCCTGCAATACAATTCCCGGGCCTTCACTGTCTATTCTTACAGACCTTGTAGGAAAAGTCAAGCTCAAATCAATAAGCCAAGATATAACTCTTGGACATATTGCATAATTTCTTGAAAGGAATTAAAGGAGCTTGAGAAATTCAGTCATGATTTCTAAGTTCGAGAAACGAAATTTGCTTATATTGATGACTGTTTTCAAATTAAGATGAGGACATTATGAACATGGCTTCTCCTAATGTTCGTCTTAACTCATGTTTTCCCCTAGTACATGTTCTAAACCATTCATCAAGTGAGGGGGAAATTAGAGTTGGAACCTCTGAAAGTGAAGTTCTATGCAAAGGACTAATATTTTGTGGGACTTGGGGCCTCTGCTGCACACAGCATGCGCTAAGTGAAGAGAGAAGGACAGATGGTGCCCACCCTCCACCAATACTTTTTTTTTTTTTTTTTTGGTGAATAAGAAGGCTAGGTATTAATGGCCTGAGATTATAAGTAGGATTATACCCTTAACCTCCCACTTGCAAGGGAACTTTCATGCCACTAGATTACAAGGCTATCAGCACTCTACCTATGCTTTGTGTTATTCACTAGCATTTCGAGTGAGCAGTACTCAATGCAACTGGAGAGAGACTGAACTCATAACTTATAAAGGACCTTTTGTGTTGTTCAAATGTGTCTTCATTCAATAAAGTGCCACTTACAAGATTTGAGACTACTTACAGTGGTGGAGATTTGCTTTATTCTTGATCTTGCTGTGGAGGCATATTCTGACCATTGGTATTTCTCAACAAGTATTGCCTTTATTTCTGCAGTTGATAAGTTATCTTGTTCCTGAATTCACCAAAATTGCATGGGGGGGTTAACAGAGTGAAAGTATGAACAATTTGTTGAGAGAACAAAGCACTTCATAATAGTATAACTTAAAAAAATCCATTTTCCACCAAAATGTTGGATTCCAGGATAAGAGAATTTTGCAGGAATAATAATGAAGCCCATATTTGTTTTTGGACACACATACAGGCATTTTCTGAGAAGCCACCATAGCCAATGTGACTGTGTCAAAATCTGCATTGATACAACGAAGGAAGTGATCTGATGGATTTCTTCTACTTGGACATGGAAATCCTGCTTTGGCGAAGAACTGCAGAAAAGGGGACAATAAAAGAAGGTTATTATGTTTTATTCCCCCCCCCCCCCCAAAGACACGGACTTTTCTTAAATTGCAATTAACAAGCTTCCCCAATATTTTCAAAGCTTACATGATCTATCTTGACAAAAAAGAAAATGTAAATTTCACAAGCTCCCTTTTATTTTTGTTTAATTGCTTATACCTTCCCTCTGTTTTCCAAATATATGCAAATCTCCTCAAGGAGAGATTGTGATTCTCAGTAAAATTCAACAGAGATGTGTATAATTTACTCTATTTTTTTTATAGAGAATTAAAAAATAATGAGAAATCTGCACAAATTCTGTAATATTTAGGAGAAATTTGGTAAATTTACTTTTTAAAGGAGAGATTATATAGATTTTAAAAATAAAAATAATGCCCATGTAATTTGGATATCTTCCCTAAAATGAATTTCCATAAATTAATCTCCCATAATCTTTGTGGATATTCCTTTATGATTAATTTCATTCTCCTACTAAAATCTTTCCTAAGTTTCAATCCCATTTATTATTCATGAAGACATACTTAGGGTTTAGATGTAGACTAGGTTACATGAAAATTTATTCGATCTACCGACCTCAATTATTTGTCAGAATTAATTTAATGAACATGAGATTGACAGAGATATGTGCTAATGCAAACACAGATAAGTGAACAGACAGTATTTACTCTATTTTTAGCCTGAAAAAGTGGTTGCTCTGAAAAGCAAAAACAGACAAAGCGAGAACAAATATCCAGGAAGAACAATAAATGCACCTCAACTGCCATTTTAGCTGCTCCGAAAAACACTGTTTGACCACCAGAGAGGAGAAAAAGATCATCAAAGAGTGCAAAAACTTCACTGCTAGGTTGATGTATGGAGGAAATAACAGTTCTTCCATCATGAGCAATATTTCTCAGAGTTTGAACAACAAAAAATGCGGAGGCACTATCCAAACCACTGGTTGGCTCATCAAGAAACAAAAGGGAAGGTCTTGTGAGGATTTCAAGTGCTATGCTTAGTCTTTTCTTTTCCCCACCACTTATTCCTCTTAAGTGCCAATTCCCAATTGGCCTATCAGCACATTGTTGAAGACCCATTTCCATAATTGTTCCTTCCACTATGTCATTAACTTCTTCTTTTGTCATTGTGCTTGGAAGCCTAAGTTTTGCTGAGTAAGATATTGTCTCTCTCACTGTTAGTGTTCCCAACAATATGTCTTCTTGGGTCACATAAGCCTGAAAATTGCAGAGAAGGGAAAAAAATAAAAGCAGTATTTTTAGGGAAGTTCTCAAATAAAACAAAATAAACTGAGATAAATTTTAGTTTAGTTTACTTTAACTCCATGGTCTACTATCTTCTTTCCATTTAAAAGCACTTTCCCTGTCATGACAACATTTCCAGGAAGCCTACCTGCAAAATGTCCAGAACTCCATATTCATTTGCTGATAAATCCTCCAAAGAAGTTCATTCATAATTAAGAAAAGAAAAAATAAATAAAATATGTTGTCTTTAAAACAAAGTTCAGAAGTGTTCCAGCTTCATAGGTTGTGAAGAAGAAAATGAAACTTCATCGTAATGGTTTCATTACTTTGTATTTTTGTCTTATCTTAATGGGAAAAATTCCGCAAGACCTTCAACTTTGTACCAGGAAGATGTTTCTTTGAATAATAAAAAATATGGTACACGCATTGATTTGCATTTGTGTTTGTAGGGACATGTCCTTTTCAACCAAGGAAAGCAAAAAAAATCCGCAGGCCGAAAAAAATTATATCTCTTGTATATTAAATATGTAACAGGAATGAACTGTTCAAACGAGAGACCTAGAGGCTAGGACTCTTGACTCTGACACAACACCGCCCTCAACGTACTAATACTAATGAACCTACCCATTGTCTTTAAAGGATAAAACACAATAAACAGACCCCACACATAAAGGGGTTAGATTAAAACTGTAATATTGTGATTAAATTTCAGCAACCAGTTCAGTAACATATAGGTTACATCAATGAAGCTCTCCTGCAGAACAAGAAGAAAGACAAAGACACCAATTTTATTGCTACAGATGAATACAGAGAGGCACCTTTAGCTGTATTGCATATCTGCAGTACGCAGAAGCATGAAGGAACATGTTTTAAGAGTTATCAAAGGAGGAAAACAAGAAAAAGCATTTTGCAGAAAGAATAAAGAAACTTGTTTTGATGTAAAACCATGTTAAAGCTTTGTTGTTTTGCATGAACAAGTGATGAAACACAAAAGCTTGAAGCTTATTGAACACAAACAAACAAAAAAACACGATGGGAGAGAGAGAAGGAGAGAAAAGTAGAGACAGACCTGCCAAAGCATCAAGAAGAGTGGATTTGCCAGAACCAGAAGGTCCCATGATGGCCATGATCCTGTTAGGCTCAGCAAATCCATTCAACCTATCAAGCAACCTCTTGGTATGTCCATCGCCAAAGTTTGGAACAACCACAGCTAAATCCTCCCACACCAGATACAATCCTCTCTCACTACTTCTGCCTCCATTACAGGAGGCGACAGCAATGTCTTGCTCTATTTCCATGGCCTAACCATAAGACAAAAGAATCCCTCGGAAGAGATGTGGATGTTGAAGAGGGAGCTGACCCATATAAATAGACATCATTGAATTATAAGTGGTCTCCAATCATGATTGCCATAATAGAAGATACTTTGCCTTTCACTCAAACTAATCTCATGCGTTCCTTGATGTGACACACACACCCACATCCAAGTATTTTTTGAGACTCCAGAAAAATTGGATTGATCAATAATCTAGAAAAAATGGAGTACAGCTTACCAAATTGTTCTGTTAATTAGTTGTTAAGCAAAGCTATTTATAAGAAAAGAAATTTGTATTATATATTGTTAAGTTGAAAAAGTTGTGCTTTGTGTCACTCAATTATTGGTGTTGAAGAGAACCTAGTATCAAATACATAGCAAGCAATAAATTAGTCAGGATACCAGAGACACGCTGACAGCAAGCCAATTAAACTGGGATCAAACAAGCAAAATTTAATATCAACCTTTGCTATTAATTTATTTTTGATGGAACATAATATGTGATGCAATTAAAACACACACAAGTTCAGTGAAGGTGTCTGGTATCATGTCATTGTTAAAGAAGTTAATATGGAACACCTAACTTACCAGTCACATCACTACCATGTGCAGCAAAAACCGTATTCAAACAAACAACGAGTTCGGTTCAGTCCCCATGAATTTGACCAATCCCTAAACCTTCGAATACTATTCTTAATGCGACGATTTCATGGAAAAATCTGTTAAGACCTGCATAAAGCTTCAAAACTATAAATCCTGATTAAAAAGAGTCTTGTGCCCAATTCATCTAACTTTCATACAATAAAGTAATAAAAGAAAAGGACAGTGTGCAGAATAGAGAATATCATGAAGTGAAGAGGGAAATGCAGGTGAACATACTGTGATTGGACCTAAATAATGTGCTATATATAGCAAGATTGTACATGGTTCTTAATGTTGAAGATGCAGGCACAGTAAAGAAAGGAGGGGGATAGTAATTCTTCATAACTAAAACCTGATTGACAATAAATTCTACAAGGGAGGGAGGGTTCACCGGTATGGAAATTTATTTATAATCTGCACCAGAAAGAAGAAAGAACAGAGAGGTCTTTACTATTTTTCTCTTTCTTTCCATTTTGATGACATGAAGGGTGCATGGAGCTCTTCAATGTTCACACTCAAAAGCCAAATCATAACCAGCTGAATCCTACTGTGAGTTATAACTTTACTTTCCTGCCTCTTTGGAGCCTATTCTTGAAATCTTGTTTGAATTAGTATTTAAAATTACTTATAAGTACATTTTATTTAACTTAAGATAAAATTCCTCTTATATAATTATTTCATATTCTGTAAATCACGATTAAAAAGTTATTTATAAGTTATTTCAAATGGGTCCTAAATATACAAAAAAAAAAAAAAAAGACATCACTATAAGAATAAAACTTTCAAAAAAAAATTCTAATGAAAAATGAGCTGCATAAACGTTGTCATCATTTTCTAAGTTCAAACTTGCTATTAACTTGTTATGTGAATTTTTTTTTTTGATAATTACATTAATTTTTCTAGGGATCACATATTAATTTTTCTTTAAATAAAAAAAAATTTCAAACTCCAAGGCTTCAGTCACTAGATATTTTTTCCGCCTTCCTTCATTGATGGCATCTGGGTATGCCAAGCCTGCAGACGTTTCATTGTCTTCTTTCTCGGTAAAAATATGGTCATTTTATGGTAAAATAAATATCATTTGGAAATTTTTGTGACTTCTTTTAAAATGTTTTTGACATTAATTTGTAATTAAATGTAAATAATTTTACCTTTATTGAATGAAAATAATTAATATTTAGAGAAAACATAGTTTTGATTTCTAGAGTTAGGTGTTGACAATAGTATAATATTTTCACTAAAACATTAATTTTTAAAATTATGATCAATTTTTGTCATAGTTTTAAAAATTTCATGTTAGCACTAACGTAACAATAATGTTTGGTAATAGAAAAAATTTGATTAAAGTTTACGACAATTTCAAAAACTTTAAAAAACTAAAAATTTTGACCCAACCTTACGATAATTGTAGGATCGACAACTTTTTTGAGTTGAATATCATCTCATTTTGCTACGATTTATATTATTTAATTACTTTTTATAATCTGTATACAAACTTTTTTAAGTATATGATGAGTTAGGAAAACCAAAAGAGTCATTAAATACAATTTTTTGAGGGGCAAAAAAACTACAAGAGAAAACAACAGCATAAGAGTATCAACTCTGTCCTTTTTTTTACTCTCACAGCATAGTAAACCAAGATTTGAATCCCTAGTAGAAGAGGTGCTTGCATTTAATACCTGACAGTGTCTCAAACAAGATTACCTCCAATAAAGAGATCCATGTGCTAACAAAAAAGATTTGTCCTTTTCTTTAAAAAAAAATGATTCCCTAATGATTTATTTTATAAATAGTTGCAATTATTAAAAACACGTTTAAAATTTAAAATAAAAAAAGAAAGAAACAGTTTGATATTAAAAATAAATGCGTAAGCCCGTATGTATGGGATAAAATAAGACAATGGGCTATCTTTATATTAATTCATTTTAAATGTTTTGAAAGTATAAAAAAAATTTAATTATGTGAAAGGAATACTAAAAAATCTAGTTCTAATTTCTCTCTCTCTATATATATATTACTACATCCTTGTGATTTCATCAAATTATTTTTTATGAATTAATCTGTTTATTTATATAATCCCTTACAATTCATATATTATATTTAATTAATTTGGAGTGTATAAATTAATTATAATAATTTAATTTTTGAAAATAAAATTAAGAAACGATAAAAATTTAAATTCAAAATAGCATAAATTTTATGAATTATATTTAATAAGGATTACCAAACCTCAACTGTAAAAATTAAAATGAAGGGTGGGATAGTGTCCGTACATGGAAATGTGGGACCTATGTGTGGCCCCCGGGGGGGGGGAACAAGTGGGGACCTATTTTTGGAGCTTTGAATAAGCAATTCAATTTCAACTGCCCCTCCGGCTCGCCCCCGCCTCCCCCTCTCCCAGCTTTCAAACGCTCTTCTGCCCGTTTGATAGGAATGGAATTGAACTGCGTAGTATAAAATGTTTTCACCCAGTTTATAATATAAGTCACTTGACTTCAACTAAATTACTGAAATCAAAGAATGACAATTCACAATGCCATTGAAAGAGGTGTTTATATTTAGTACCCGATAATCTCTTAAATAGAATTGTCTTCAATAAGAGGAGCCCTGTGCGTAACAAAAACATGACAATTAACTCATTAAATTTCTTTTAAATTAAAAAAGTTTAATTTTATAGCCAGAGTAAAAATAAGCGTGAAGGGAATATAATCATATATAAAAGAAAAAAGACATAAAAAGAAGTTAAAAATTACAATATTTCAATTCAGGTACCTAAGAGATCAAAATCTCAGAAGAGGAAGTGATACCTGATTTGATATTTTGCAAGTGTAGTTGAATGACAAAAGTACCCTTGTATCAAAAAGTTTATTAATAAGTTATTAATTACCAGTTTTAAACAGCAAATAACAAGAAATATACTAACAATAATAAGCTATTTATTAATAAGTTATGAATTGGTAATAACAAATGTTAAACAAACAATGACAAGAAATATACGAGCAATGACAAATTTGATTTTTTTTTTTTTACATTTTATTCATTTGGCTATATTTACAAAATACGAGATCAAGCACTACTTCTTCTTTTAAAATTGTGATGTCTTAAATATCTAAATTAGAATATTATAATTACCACAACTATCTAAACAAAAAAGCCAACGTAAAATCATCATCACAAGTTTGGGGAATTAAAGGATATGACAAAAAACTTCCAACCGCATAGTAGTAGAGTCACGGCTAAAAACCATGGTGGAGAGGTGTAACGTTGAAGTCAAGTTGCGCTCTATTATTTAGCACGATATTTTTTCATTTGCTCGCATTATTTGCAGGAGCAGATGTTCATTTAGCAAAGCTTTTTTTTTTAATTTAAATTTTTGAATCTAGTTTATTAGCCTGTGTCTTTGTCTTCCATGTAAACATTATATTTTCTTAATATTATTTTGCTTTTTAATTATAAAAAAAAAAGACATTGAAGTCAACTCCAAAGAAAAGAAAAACAAATATCGATTGAATAATGACCCGATTAAAAGGGGGGGAAACCTAAAAATACCACTTAAATTTTAAAACGATAAAAAGATCATGCTAATTATTCTCGTTATAAAAATACTCATCTGGTTTTTAATATAGGACCTGATTGTTAAGTTTATTTTGATTATAAATATAAGACTTATTTTTTATATTTATTAATTTTTTCTAAATTACTCATATGGATATTCTCTCAACCATAATCAAGTAGACAAGGTAGAGAGGATATTAAAGCAAAAAATTATGGTGTTTTAGAAAAATATGTTATATTTCTTATAATTAACTAACTTACTTAAATTTTTTAATCTAATCAAATTAGTTAAATAAATCTTATATTAAAGACCGGAGGAATATTATCTATCCTTATAAGGACTGAGATATCAGCATTTTTTTTTTTGGTTAGATTGAAATTCAAGTAGTATTTTTCGTTCCTTTTTCCAGAGTACAAGGCTAACTATAACTAAAGTACTTTATCCGGTCAAAAAAAAAAAAACTAAAGTACTTTAAAAATGACAGGTGTAGTGCTGGAAGACCCTTGCAACAGCCCTTTAGTACTTACCCCATGTACGTCACGAGCTCACCCTCATGAATGAAGGCCATGATCAAATATCAAAAATTGAACACACCCGAAATTTGCAAAGGATTCTATATTAAAGATTAAGAGGGAACAAAAAGCAGAACTCTGTCGCTTGACCAGGATGGTTAGAAAGGG